ACATGTACGGTACCTCATGTAGCAACCAACCTCGACGCCCCTTGAAGCAAAAGAGATCGAGCGCTGATGCAAGGGGCGATGCGGAAGAGGCTCGTGAGCGAGTCGAATCGAGGCCATGGCGCGTTGACGAATTGCGGAGACCTCGAAGCACCTCTGAAACACTGCGCTAAGAAAACGGCCAAGATGTCCCCCGACAATGGTTCAATACTCTCGAGGTTGATTTGAGTCGATTTCCCATGAAATTCGAAAGAGATTGGTTGGTTGGGTTTGCCTCTTTGGTTGCTCAGCTCCACTCGGTGTGTCTGAGTTATTGCGAAGCAAGATGTTGTGTACCAGCGCTGTGAAACTCGTCACTCCTCCCTCTCCTCGGGGTATTCATCGAATCCATCTCCAGAGTTCCAATCCAAGTCTCCATAGGATCGCCACTGGTCGACTTTCTCCTTGGACATGCTCTGATGGAATCCCATCAACGCCTCTTCCAGCTCTTCTTCATCTCTTGCCGAGTGCAATATGCATTCGACTAGAGGAGATTGAAGGGCAAATGACAGACAATCCCCCGTCGATGGTGCGTCATCGTCCCATTCATGATGCCCGTCTTGAAGACGATTCCATCTCGTTGTGGTAAATGCCAGAACTGGTTTGTCGTATTGGGCGCAAGCAGGAAACGACAGGCGTTCGGCAGCGTCCTTGTGGGACATGCTGTAGCGCAACATGACTGTCTCAATGGCATCCTCGGCCGCCAAGAGGGCTCCTACCTCATGCGAATGCGTCGAAGCTCCGACATGACGTACAAGACCCTGTCGTTTCCACTCTTGCGCCTGCGCCATGGCATCGTGGAGGTCTGAACGCTTCCATTCGTAGGAACAGACATACTCCAAGACGAACAGGTCCAAGTACTCGCCTCCGCATTTCTGCAAGGCATCTTGCAATCTCTGCTCCATTTCTGCAGGCGATCGTTCCGTACCACCACTAGCAATGAAAAGGTTCTCACGCTGTTCTCTGCTCTGACAACAGAGCGCTTGGATGCCGCTCAGAAAGTCTGGATACCGATGAGGATTGTAGTAAAAGAAGAATGGAGCTCCAAATGGAAACTCAGACTGCTTTTTACCACTGGAGTTTTCCGCGTTCAAAAGCCAGTCAAAATACTGGGAAGGGAGGGTCTCTGGTTGGGTGCTGCGAGCAGCACCTCCTAGAGCATAGCGACAAACAGGAAGGCCTGAAGCTGTGGTGAATGTATTGCTGGGACTTGGAAACGTATCGGGCAGTGGAATGGACAAGGATGATAGAGCATTCGACAACGACACAGTGAAAACGAAAGCGAGAACTGCCACCACTTTCAGCCTACTGGTACGTGTAGCTGGTCTCATGTTGTTTGCCGTTCTCCTGTTGTGGCTAACTTCTAATAGTTGGAGCAAGTCGAATGCAGTCAATCTTAACCATGGCGCTGGTGCGCTGTTGCTCTTGACATGCATGGATCATGGAAGCATCACGGAAGATCCTTGGGGCTGAGTCTTGGGTTATTCGTGACTCGACTGAAAGATCTGGTGGCACCCACTTTTTACTTGCTTGGGGCATGCGGACAATGCGGACTGTTGCTGTGCAAGCTTTAGGTACTGGCTAGGGCAGAACTTCTGCTTGTCCTGCTGTTTCAGGTTCCTAGCTGGTGGTACGACGAAGAGGAGGAGATATACCAACTAGCAATGGTTTGGCTCAGTCATCTTAGCATCTTTCGGTGTGCCCGTCGAACCGAGAAGGGACACGTAAATCTGCTCGGTCCATGGACTATTCGTAGCGGTGATTCGATTCATTACTTGCATCGACACTTAGCCCTAGCTAGCTATACGAAATCTGTGGGTTCCTCCCCAAAACAACTCAATGTGTATCAACCGATTGAATTCAGACAAGAGGTCTTTGCAGGCGACCCACTGACCCCGAATCAAAATCTGTGGGTTCCCAGTCTGGGCTGGTGACATCTTCATCAGTCCATCCGTCTCGTCGTCCCAGCTTTCCACACTTGAGCGACACATCCAAACCTTCCAGAATTTGCATTTCCTCTGCAGTCAGCATGTTGGATTCGTCCAAATTGACTCCACCGTAGGAGTTTTCCGCAATGGCCACTCGTTCCACTTTGGACGTGGCAGCCGATCGAGGAACACAAATGTATCCCTTTTGCATCGACCATCGGACCAACACTTGTGCCTTGGTCATGCCCTTTTGTTGTGCCATTTTTCCCACCACCTCCCATTGATCGGTGGGGCCGTCGGCACTGGACAGTTTGGACCATGCCCCACAGGCAATGGCAATGCCGTTCTTATTGCACCAACTCACAACCTCCTTGTGTTGGTTAAAGGGACTCAATTCGAGTTGATTGACCGCCGGTAATTCCAGCTTGGCCGCTTCGATTTCTTGCAGTGGCCCCAATCCGTAATTGCACACACCGACAGCTTTACAAAAGCCGGAATCGCGCAAATCCAACAATGCCTCGTAGGTTGCCAATCGACGAGCCTTGTCCGTCAAGGGCGTGTGAATGGATACCATATCCAGATACTGACAACCCAATTCTTTAATAGTCGCCTTGACACTTCGCCGTACGGCTACGGGGTCTGTGGATTGTTCTTGGTTGGACACTTTGTGAGACAAAAAGAGTCGGTCTCGTCGAAACTTGCGTCCAATGGATCCCGTGGGCGTGGCAGTGAAGCTTTGGGAACTGGCACCCACTTGCAGTGCGTGTTTTTCTCCTGCCAACCGAGTGGCCTCCAATTGCTCTAAAAGTTCTGGTTTTTCCTCACTCAGATTCAACAATCCGCTCGGTCCAATATCCAAATATTTTTGGAGTGCCCGAGCAACTTCCGCGTTGGATCCGTAATCGGTGGCCACATCCAAATGACGAATGCCCGCGTAGAGTGCCAACGTGGTGCATCGTGCCGCCTGATCGGGAGCCGTTTTGTAAAAGGAATATCCCACACGGGGAATCTTGACACTAGTACTGCCTATTGCTAGAATGGGAGGTGGATCCTTGATAGGGACAATCGAGTTGACAACGACGTTTTTACTTTGGCGAGCCGCATTCACCTTGTCCATGTCCACGGTTTCCACCGCAACCTTGTTCTTATTATTGCTGTTTGCATTCACAACATCCAACAAGTTGGTGGGACCGTTGGCTCTGGCCGCCTTGATGGCATCCAAGTCGACCGTCTCGTCGGCCACTCCAGGAGGAGCAGAGACCACCAGACCGGCCAAGGAAACGGCCGATGACGTGAGAGCCTCGCGGCGGCTGATGGAAGTTGGGGTCAGAGCATAATGCAAAGGAACACTACTAGACAAGAGAATACAGATGCAATAGATCTTCTTCCAGAGAAGCATTATTGTGACATCCATTGGGTCAAGTCTTATTACAATGCCGATCAAGGAAAACAAGGCTGTCGGAATGTTGAACTGGGTTGTAATGTTGTGGGATGGTTGGAGGTGTTGAATGTGTGAGTATCACCTCGGCAGGTAAACTGCCTGAGTTCTCAACCCCTTTAATGCTATTTCCTATTCCGGTGAAGCCAAAGTATAAGGATAGAGATAGTCATAAGCCAACAAAACTGAACATTGATGGTTCAATACAAGTTAGGGGTAGGAATAAATCATTAATATTTAAGGTTAGTGCAATCAGCACAACAGCACAACAGCACAATAAGCCAGCAGGAGCTGTAAAGGTTAGAGTTACAATAAGGGAATGGCAGCTGGTAAATTATAGAGTAGCGGGCGGCAACACACGACGTAGTCGGGTGTTGTCGCCAGGGCTAGCTTAATAAAAAGAAGGTTGCAATGAGGGAATGAATCATACCGGGCGGCAACACACGACGTAGTCGGGTGTTGTCGCCAGGGCTGGCTTGAAAGATGGTTGCAATCTCGAACATGATCCTCCTTCTTCTATCTGTCTTTCTGCCGAGGTATCGCAGCTCCCGCTGACTTATTTTGGATCTTTTTGTCGCGTTCGGGACTTCACAACTTCCACGTTCCACGAGCCGTGGTCGTGGCGCTCGGATGGTTGTCGCGGTTGCCAAACGTGAGCTCACAACCGCCGGGCACTCGACGTTTGCTTCGGGCAAAAGGATTGCTTTTACTACAGTATATATACCGAAGAGTTCCGTTCCGTCTCAGCACCTCGCAGTAAAGCCTGTTGGAACCTTTCAAATTGGATATTTTCCAAAAAGCTAAGCGATTTTGAATTTGCCTCTTGGTAGGATCCAAGAAGATTACTGGCTTAGGAACACTGGCTTTAAAGCCCGGATCACTGGCTTCATGGAACACTGGCTTCCCATATTTGGGAACAAAGCCACTCTTCTATTTTGTTCCAGCTCGAACAATACTGGTACTGATAAATGTATAGTAAAGTCATCCTGGAACAGAAAAGAAGACTGGCTTTAACCCCTTGGATCACTGGCTTCTGTTCTTAGGAACACTGGCTTCTATTTCTGTGGAAGCCAGTTGGAAGCCTGTGATCCTTGGAGTTAAAGCCAGTGATCCTAAGCCAGAGATCCTTTCTGTTCCAAGTCATAATCATTTTCAGCAAAATTATTTGTTTTGAATTTTTACCGAGCTATTTCAACCTTTCAAGCCAATTTACCTCAAGGTGCAGGTGACTTGCAGCAATATCTTCTACAACGTTTATTTCTTGTTTGAATACGAGTAAGATAGTTCGAGTCCTGATGAGCTGGGTCTTGATTCGGCAATGACTGGTCGCACTATGAGGTTCGCTGGGATTGCTTGACGGCCAAGGTTGTCAGTAGACCACTTCGTCGCCTGTTCTTTACTTTTGTACACCATGTCGTTGCAACATCCTATTTGTGCATGAACGATGGTGCCGGTGGCGCCAAACTGCACCCGCCGCTTTCCGTAGATAGCTTCCCTGCTCCTCTAGACCCCCCGCCAAATCTGTCATGAAAGCTCTGGCAAACTAACAGTGTGCGATCTATGTCCCAACAGGCCATGTGACTGGCTGACGGAAGCGCCAAAACCTCCATATCTATGCACAACATGTTACGGTACCCCTATAATAACTTTGGGCCATCTCACAAGCAACTGACCCTCCTACCGGTAGTACTTCCCAAGTTGTCCCTAGCCAAGTTTCTGTCATGTTGTTATCACCAGCATCTCAGCATTGGTTCTTCTATACACCCACCTTGATGCGCTTTGTATCATTCGAGTCTGTAATGCCTGTCTTCAACTCCTCACCGGCAGGTGCAGGACGTACCAGCCCTGTTGCACCGTTGGTTGTAGGGGTCCTTCCCCGTTGGTGCCGGAACATGTAGCTGATCTTTCCTCGAGCCAACTCATCCGACACTTCAAGCCAAATTCCACTATCCTTAGAAAGAAACCTCACCCCACTATCTTTGAGCATGCGCACAATTTCAAACGTCAATTCAGTCTTCTCCTGCTTGGAGCAATGGTTGTGGTACTGGTCCAAATACCCATCAATGATGGTCATGAGTCGTTGATTGCCGCTTGAAAACTGAATCGGTTTCCCCTTTCCTAGCAGTACATCACTTCGGGTGGGAAGGTCAATCAAAGTGTCTGGATTGGTGGAAGGGTCTTGTGCTATGATTTCCTCCGCCTTGGATCGCATTGCTAGGTACTCCTGGTGATTCTTGGTCTTGATTTTGCAGTTGTATGTAAAAGGGATCAAATCGTGTGGAATTCCATACGACATCAATTCTTTGGCCCAATCATCATAAGTACCTGCAGGCATGGCCAATACAAACAGTGGTATGAGAGGGGAAAGGATATTGACAAAGGATACAAACGAACTGCAAGTAGGCTTTAGCAGCCACGTACCATGGTGAATTCTAGTCCTGACCTTTATTTCTGGCACCATGATCCCAATGACATAGTCTACCACCTTATGCATCATTTTTGTTCCAAGGTCTGAGGAATCTTCATTCTCAAGGAACTTGTGGACGAAATCAGCCCTAAAGGGAAGGTCTGTGGCAAGTCTACCTGTGTACAGGCAACCACCAAAGGCACGGCTGCAGCTTTTGTACTGAATATCCTGCAGCTTGAAGAAGACACTGATGGTCCCACGCTTGTCAGTTTCCTCATCCGTGCAGGCCACATAGAAGTATATGCGAACCTGCAATCATATGAAGAAGAGGGAGTCGAGTCAGTGAGCAGTGGGAAACCCGGCAATGGTGGAAGTTTTGATAACTTACAAGGCTCTCAGGGGTATCGTAAGTTTGTCCATTGTAGAGGCTGGCATAAATAGCTCTTCCTGCTCGATCTCGAACTGGCAGCCGTTGAATGTAACCTTTCTTCAGCATCTCACGATCTCCTGGCTTCAAGTCTTTTAGGGTGATGGGCCTCGTCAATGCTTCCGCACCAAAAAGTTCCATCTTCAAATCAAAAAACCGAATAAAGCGAGCAGCAGCTCGCCTGACATCATATCGTTCCGTTCGAATGAATTTCAATCGAAACTTGGCATTTTGAACATACTCAGGGTTTTGTGACTCGGCTAGTTCAATGGCCGCAATGCGGAGGTTCCACGCTGAAACAGCTCTGATTTTTTTCAGCTGCTCCTCCATCTCTTTCAGTTTGTGCCCAATGAAAATGGGATCATCTTCATCTTGTGGTGTGTACTGACTTGTGGATTCTGAGTTGCTTCCATATTTGGGAGGTGGAAAAGTGTCGGCGATTCCATAAAGCTCCTTCACAATCTGCTCTCGTTCCTTCATTGGCAGTGCCTTCAGTGAGTCGGCAATCAAGTCAGCGGCGTGCTGTGTCATCTTTCCTGCCTTATCCTTTGCATCCATGGCAGAAGCAACAGTGCCAGGATCTTTGGGCGCCGAGAAGGTTATCCCGAGCATTGCCGCCTCAGCTTCGCTCAGGTTGAATGCAGACCCGTGCTCATCAGCATCGTACTCCTCGTCACCAAAATCAGAGTCCAACGATGCGAACGCCTCGTCAGTCAAAGCATCCGCGTCAAACATCATCGGCTCATGGTCTGGCGACACCGGCGCAGGTTCATCAAACGTAGTGGCTAGATTCATGGTCCTTGGTGAATTCTATGGCACTACAAAGCACTCTTTTGTAAGTTGTGAGCGGAGAGGTGGAAGGTGGCTTGGTGGGACAGGATAAGGGGGTCGCGCAGAACGAAAGCGCAGAAAGCACACAAGAGAGCTTCAAGTGACAAGAACACTTTGAAAACCTGATGACGTATCTTAAATTGAGTTAATTAAAGGTAGTGTTTCCCTATTAATAAGCCAGCGCTCCAGTAAGTTCGGTGGTCCCAAGGTCCGATCTGCAAAGCTGCTTGGTAATTTTAGAAGGCTTTGCCCTTCCACCGCCATTGCTCCACGGATAAATCCCCACAGTCCAGGCTTGCTAGACCTCTAAAGTGGTCTTCTTCAAGTTCAATCTTGTTGGTAACTTCCACCTCGACGTCGTCTCTTTGTCTGTTTCACAATCAGAGTTTCCTTTAGAGAAGGTCAACCGTTAAGAACGATCCAAGCTTGGGAGGGGATCTTTCGTTTGCGGAGCATACATTTCCGCCTCAAAAACCTGTAAAAATGGAAAGCCCGTGCTACTAAGGTAGTAGGAGCTGTAGTAGGTAGCCATGGTCAACGAGAGATTTGACCTCTTCGTCTCCAGGCAGACACAGAGTAGAAAGAAACGGGCTCAGACCGTCTTTTGTCTTTTTAGGATCCCTGCATCAGTGGATATGGTTTGCTACGGTACCTAGTAGTTGGGCGAGGTGCAATCGCACAGAGAGTATCCAAGTGCTAGTAGAAAGGCCTTGGATGATCTACTACATGTAGTATCAGAAGGACGGCGAGAGTCGAGTCACCCTTGAGGGAGAGATGACACACTAGAGAGAGCTATTTCGTCTCCTGGAGACGATTTGCTTTAGGGGTAATGGTACCGATGGGGGCAGAGGTTTGAATTATACCCGGCGCGCATTACTTAGAAGGCCCTGTAGAAGTCTACGTATTCGACTAGTATTGTATTGACGGGATACAGTCAACGCATGTACATGCACATGAAAGTCGCCTTGCGTTCTTCACATTTTAAAAGTTGGCTCCTAATTTTTCGGGGTCGCCTGTGATTTGATTGGACGCTTGATCTTTTTTCAATGACTGACATTGAATGACGTACGAGGTGCAATGCGAATCTCAGAAAGGTAGTTGTAGTAATAAAAGTTTTTATATACAGATTAATTTACCCTATATCCCTACCGTTTATACTTATAACAAGAACCCGTCTTCTCGTGGAACATTTCATCGTATTGATTCTTCTCCTAGGACAGAAAGCCCAATAGTATCCTTAAATCTTGCAAGCATGTCTCTCATTCTGTTGTGGCATGGCAAAGTTCTTTGGATCCCATTCCAGCTTCTTCAATAAGACAAACCACTCATGGTTCGCACCCTGATAACACCACGTAAGCCAGTTTTGACAGTATCGCCATGAATGTACCAATAACCACACTGCAGTATATCCCTGTAATTTGTGTCCAGTTGTCGCAGAATTGCTGATAATCGGAACTGCTTACCCTTCATCTTGGTGTGTACAACTTCTCCGTCATAAAACCATCTGGTACTGAAAGTGTAGTCTTGCTCCGTTACATAAAAAGTACGTGGCATAATAGTCTCCATTTCATGTTCCACAAGGATAGATTTGACTTGACCTGAGAAAAAAGCCCGAATCTTGCAGCCGTTGTCGAGTTGAATAACCATGGGGGTGCAACCATCCTCACATTCACCTTTCTCACAAAAAGCCGAGATCCATTGGCTTCTCCATTCGGAACATTCGTGTTCTCTGTAAACATTACAGGACACCCCTTATATAACTTCAAAGCAGGATCAACACGTTTTCGTGAGTCCGAACCGGGTTTTAACGAGTCTTCTCCACATGTTGAAAAGAAGTGCTTTAAAACCGAATTGCTCTTAACAGGAACCAGTGTCCCTGCTTGATTGGCCATTTGAAGATCGTCCATGAAAATGAGTACTGCATCCATCAGACGGAATCATCAGCAGGTTTGTTCTTCCCGCAAAATTCTTCGAAGATAGCTGAGTTAATGGCATCTCGATCTCGATTCAGATAAGTAGCAATTGAATGTTCTCTGGTGGAACATGGGTTGGGCAAACCACGCAGGCGTCATTGATGGTCTCAATATCTTCTTCTGTTGGTCGCCCTTCACGGAATCTTAAAAGCGTTGCCCCCATTCAGGATCGTCTTTGAAGCGGTGCATTCCATCTAACTCAATAAATAAATTCAGAGAGTCATGAAATTCAGGAATGGTGTGCTGAAAATTGTAAATTGGGGGGCGTCCACCTGGTTCAAGTTGAGAGTAGTCCCCGCGAACACCAAGTTAAGTCCCCAAATGGTTGGTATTCGTCTTGCACAAGGTCTTGGTAGTGGAATATCTTTCATAAGTCAAGTTCCCCCGCGAATAGAAATTTCGTCGATGATAAGCATCCGTGCGTCACTCCATTTTTCTACCAAGTTCTTCGCCACACTTTCCCGAGTTCTGTCCAATCCCACAGTGAATGCGTTGTTTCCCCATGTAGTATTGTAGCAGCAACACCCCGACATAGCAGTGAACAACAATGGTTCGGTCGTTAAATGGATGATCAATCAAACTGCAGAATTCTTTGCCATAGGCCATGACTAAGTCAATTACGGTAGTCTTCCCACTTCCTCCAGGCCCATGTAGAAGAAGAATCACGTTGGGTGCCACGACTTCCCTTCAAAATCAAAAGGTTTTTACAGAGAAAGTCGGACTTTTGCCTTCAACCCCATATCCGGGACTCCATCTCTAAGTCCCCTTTTCAGCTTCCTCATAAAATGTCACAAGAAGGCGCAATGATACACTCGAAAGCCTTCTCTGTTTGTCGTCCAGATTGGCAGCCGTTGCCCAGTCACTTATACTTCTACGCTTCCATTCGCCTGCGCACTTCAACCTGCGGATTGTACTTTTTTTAAATACATTTGCCCTTTGGATGCACTCCCGTTTGTTAAGTAGAACTTCAATGATTGTGATATCGAGGTGTAGGAGGTTCCACTCTGCTTCTCTTTGTAGTGCCAGTCGTGTGAAAGTCAGCACTTATGGAAACAAATTCGTCTTCATCTAACGAATTCTCAGGAATGGGTTAACTGCACGTTGTATCCTGCTTGTCGCTTCCATTGTGACGATAGCCGTAAAACTAAGACAATCAAATGTGCTTGCCAGAAAGTCCCGGTTTGAATCTGTTTTCCCTGGCTCTCAAGATCACGTATCCAATCTTCGTAAACCTTTTGAATCAGATCATCTTCCTCATGTTCGTGCTCATCACAGATTCGTTTTCGTACATGTTTTCCTCCCAATGTTCCGGTCTATAGGGCTTGGTACTCGTTGAAGATCTTCTCTTTCACCTTATACCTTGGTTGTTGAAAGCGGTGTCTTGAATTTCTGGATGAATAGACAGGTTCCTTTCTGAGAAGACGACGGTGTTCTTCGTTATTCGCTTTTCTCAGAACATCGTATTCATACACTTCACGAAGTTTTTCAGCGAAAGCATAGTTGGTCTGGGGTACGGACTTCTTTAAATCAGCCAAACATCGATGTGGAAAGTACAAAGCCAACAGCACTTCCGCATAAGTATCATTGCCTGGTTCAGTTCGCCATAGGACACGTCAGGATATTGGCACCAAAACCGCCTGCATCTGAGAAGGCCCATTGGAACCCAACCAATGCTGCTTCTTTCCTCAAAATTACTCCGCTGAAGTTTCACCAGTTAACACCTCGTCGTTTCCTTTGATCGTCTGATGGATGCACGAAATGCCTAGTGTCAGCCATAAAAGGTCATTTCTCCTCATCAGTTCGCTGACGTTTCCGCCTGTGGACACTCTTCATTGGTCGTTCTCGTAAAGCTCGTAAAACCGCTTCACTGAACCATTCTCTAGATCTTTGTTTCGACACAAGATAGTGGAGCGCCTGGTTCTCAAGAAAAGCCTGACCTGTTTGGTGATATCGTAGTTCTGATGACATTCTTGTTTGTTCAACAGCAACATTACATCTTGATCGACAGTAGAGAAACGATGCGAAAAGTAGAACCTTGATTTGTTCCGCGTAATGAATGGGGCCAATGATGGACCAATGATATTTGACCTTGTTATGGCAAAAGCTGCACGGCAGATCGACGAAGAGCCTCCTTGTAATCGTCTTCATACACTCTACCGTTTAGGGACTTAATAGCACGCTCAACAGTAGCATACTCGGCCGGTCGTCTTGCTGCGTAGACTTGTGTTTGTACTTCATCTGATACATGGAAAGGGTCCAACCGTAATAAAGGATACGTTGCTGTTGCATGCAACCTTGGACTCTGAAATAGCCTTGCAACGACTGATTCTGAACAGATCATACGCATTCTTTTTCGGTTGAAATTCCACTATGGGCTGTTTCCGGGAACCCCGGTCCAATCAAACCAACTTGGTTTTCTGTATTCACTGCAACCTCCCTTGATTCCGACCGAGGCTCC